TTTTAAAAATAATGCTGCAGTTTGGGGGGGGGGGGGGGGAGAGAGAAGGAGGAGGCAGAGATGACAGAATTGCCAGGCCCCAAAGCAAGGTGGGAGGGAATCCGGTTACACACTCCTGGAATGGGCATGGAGCCTAGGGCAGAAGGGGAAGGGCTGGGGCAGCTAGCCCTCACCACTGCCTGGACTGCTCTGCACTGCATCCCCGCCCCCAGCTCACTTTTAGTGCCACCTAGACAGTGTTGCCCAGGGCTTTGGCAGTGATTTAAAAGGCTTGCTGCCAGAGTAGTGCATGCAGCTGGTTGCCCCAGGCCCTTGTGAATATCCGGGCCCCAGGGCAGTTGCCCCTTCTGCCCTTTCTGTTGGCAGACCTGGCCATTATGCTTTTGCCACCTTATAGTGTTATTATTATTTATAAAACACCTCACCAAAGTACTCAGATTGCTGTACAATAATACATTTAAAACATTTCTAAAACATATTACATACTATACTGTAAATTCTTAATGTTCAGAAATCTTATTTACTGCAGTAGGTTTGACTTGTTTTCAATGGGAGTTCAAAAAGCACTAGCAAAACTGACTCCTTAGTAATACAAAGCAAGCAATACAAAAATTCAACAGGCATGAAAATAGGAATAGTTATCTAGATTGATTTTTTTTAATGATTTGAATGAGTTTCCCATGACTTTACCAGCCATTTTAGATATCTAGTACAAACCTGTGTATATGCAAATTAATTTAAAGTTAATAAATGGTCTGTGAACTGGAATTCATAAGTAATGTTTAGAGGTGCATTATTATCTCTTAAAAACAAATGCTGCACTCATCTGCAGACAGTGTCCTTTTTGGGGGAATTGCGTGCTTTTAACTGAGACAGATTCAGGTATGGAATTCAAGTATGGAATTCTCATTAATGTTATTGGGAATTAGACATATTTTGAAAAATGAAGTATACTCTCTAGTTTTGGTGGGCTCTCATTTTAGAATCCGCTTAAATGTTTAGATTATTTTGAAGCACTTCTTCAATGTTATATTCTTTTGTGAAACCAATGCCCTGTCAATCTGTTACTATCAGAGCAATTCACTTCAACAGTATTTTGCTAATTTAGAACACTAAAAGATGCTTATTCTCTTTAATACTTCTAATTGTAGCACTAGTCCCATTCTTTGCAGCCTTTAATGAGATCTCAAATTGATTTTAATACTATTATACACCTTAGTCTTTTATTCATTATGCATAACTCAGGTGCTGATGATTTGTGGTACAGCCTAAAACAATGGAAGCTGTTGCTTAGCTAAATCATATTCTGTAAAGTTGAGTTTCTTTGAAGTTCTAAATCATGTCTTGAGGACTGAGGTCCTTTATTAAAGTCCAGAACATATACAACAATGGAAAGATCCCTGCTTCTCAGGATGGTTTTGTAGGAGCAATGTGTCCACACCCAATCAGTGCGGAATCTAATATTGATGATTTGTATTATCATGTGGACATTTGTCCACTCAGACTTACAATGAGACCATCCCCATGTTCTATAGAAGGATCATGAAAATCTGTGTCCAAGCCGTTTGGATTATTTTCTTAATTTAATTTTATATTAATGATTTTGTGTCTGAAAAAAATTATTTTGGTTAAATTTTGTGAATGAGGTGTATGACATCTAAAATAGAAAGATGTACATTTTACTTGTTTTGGTCAGAGGAGCTTTGTTTGAAAATGGACCTAAATTTCACCCACAATGTTTCCCATATTTGAGGTTTTTTTTCCCCCAGGGTGTTATGAGGATTGATAAAATTGACTGAGACAACATCCTCTTTGCCTTATTATTATAAGTGGTCAAATTCTGCTCTAGGCAATAGTGGTTGAGCTACTCAAATGAATAAGGCCATCTGGATTGTTTGTACAGGCTTTTGAAGAAATTTGAAAGCAAAGGAGTGGGAGGAAGCAACAACAAATGGGTGAAAGGGCAAGGGTAGAGGCAGCATCAATAAGATGAAAATCAGAGGGGTCCAAAGGGAAGGGAGAAAGAGAGGAGTACCAAAAACTGAGGGGTAAGTGGGTAAGAGGCAGCAGGAGACAGAGGAGCCAATAGCATGGGGAAGGGGGCAGTAGTAACTAGCAGGTAATGGGGCAGGAGAAGAAGGCCCTTTTAGCAAATGACAAAGTTGTGTATGAGATCAATGTGTCTTCTAGTGCCCAAAGAAGGTCAGCTGAGACCTGGCTGTCCAGCCCCTCACTTGCTCTGCATGGTCATTCCAATGAGCCTTCTCCCTGCTGGAGAAATGTGAACAGCTCTGACACTGCTTGTGATCAATAGCATCCCAGTGCTGTTTTCTCCTGGAGCTCCATGAGAGGAGAAGATGGGGCTGCTGGTTTATCCTGCTGGGGGATGTTCAGAGTACATAGTGCCTACTGCCTACCCACCCCACTGCAGAAAAAAGAAACCCCAGTATACACCACCTTTGTAAAAAGCCCAAATCAATTCCATTGGGAAACTGGCTCTGCTGAAGTTTTGAACCAGTGGTGGGGGGAGGTTAGATGGAGAGTAGGGTCAGTGATGGGAAGGTGGATTGTGGGGAGTGAGATATGGGAACCAGGCTCCTTGGGATGAGGAAGGAGATGATGAAGAGCAAAAGAGGTGAGTGCTGGGACTGGAAGGAAAGAGAGGATCATGTGGAACAGAGGGATGGATATGGCCTAGGAGTGCAAGGGAGGCAAATGTGTGGTTTGCCAATATAGCTTATTTTGCTTAGATATGCTGATAAAAATGGTCCCGTAGACAGAGCACCTCAGTGCAAACACATGCACATAGCTGTACACATAATAACCATTCCAGTCCTATGCTCTCCCTGCTGAGCACCACAGGAAGTGACTGGATTTTCTTTGTGAAAGCCGAGGCACTTTCCCTCCTCTGTCTGTTAGTGCTAGTTCCTTCCCCCCTCTCCTTATTCACCATTCATGTTACCCAAAAGGGCTCACTCATCATCCCAAATTAGCAAAATGAATTGTGCTGGTATTCCTGTTATGACAATGAACAATGCAACATCAAATGCCATTTTGAATTTGCAGGGAGCAGGCAATTATTTCATTTCCCTTCACTCCCCACCTTGCTGGAAGCACCAGACTTTGTGCTGGAAACAGGCTCTGCTCCATTAATGGTATTTCAAAGCCCCAGTCAGGAGGCAGGAGTATTTAATTTCATTTTGTGGCACCTACCAACATGGCACTGTTGTTGGCCCTCTACAGCCTTTGTTATGCTCAGGTTGCTCTCTGTTTGGGGTGGGGTTGGTATACTCCTTGCATGTGCTTGGATTAATCTGCCTGGGGCTTGTTTAATCAAGTCTGCTCTCAAACCGGGGCTTCTTTTGGCAACACTGATTCCCTTCCCTTTCCTATTGCCAGCTTTGCAGTGACAGTTGAGCTCCTGGGATTCCCTCCCTTACTGACAGAGGTGGGGAGGATTCCAACCCCACCCACTGTTGCAGCTGCAGGGCCTGCAAGGATTAGGAGACTGTGGGGTATTCCCCCTCTATGTAGTCACTTCTAGTTGGCTGTGGAAAAGAAGCACCCTGACCCATTGGGCATTGCAGGAACTTGTTCTGTGCTGGAGACACAGCTAATGGGCAGTTTTCTGTTGACTCCTCTTAAGGAAACCTAGCAGCAATTCAAAGCAGTGAGCCCAGCCTACACCCCTTTCAACAACTCCCTGTCCCTTTAAGCACCTTTCAAAGTAAAGACAATAATCCCAGCTGAGAAGGCATACAGCAGATGAGCCTGGTGCTACAGCAGCATGGAGCCCGTACTTTGAGTTCAGCAGAGGCTTTGTTGAAGTGGTTTGCTACACGAAAACAAAGGGGGTAGGGGGTGGAATGAGAGGATGAAATGGAGATCTACAGTCAGAGTCTCCATGATCCA